AAAACCTTTAGGACCCTCAATGCACATGTTCGCAGCAGCGGACGCTGGAATTCTTACTTTAGTTATGACAAATCCATTATGGGTAGTTAAAACACGTTTGTGTTTGCAATATATGGATGATAAGCATCTTCCGGAAACACTTAGATATAATGGCATGATAGATGCAATTAAGAAGATTTATAGAACCGAAGGAGTTAGAGGCTTGTATCGAGTAAGTGAATTTCTTTTTGGTAGAAAAAAAAAAAAAATGGAATATTGAATCTTAATTTAATTGTTTTTATAAATATTTACGGATATTTATAGGGTTTTGTACCTGGAATGTTTGGTGTCTCGCATGGTGCTATTCAATTTATGGTGTATGAAGAATTGAAGAATTGGTACAACAATTATTTGAATGTTCCGATCGATACAAAGCTGGTATGTTTAATATCGAATAATTATTTGTATATTTTTATATTGCATTAATTTTTTATTTGAAAGTCTGAAAAAAATATTTTTATTTACAGAGCACATGGGAATATATTTTCTTTGCAGCAGTTTCAAAATTGATTGCTGCCGCTTCGACTTATCCATATCAAGTTGTTAGAGCACGACTTCAAGACCATCATCACAACTACAGTGGCAGCATACATTGTATTCAATCAATATGGAGGTCAGAAGGAATAAGGGGTTTTTATAAGGGCTTGACACCCTATCTTTTACACGTGACACCAAATATTTGTTTAATTATCGTAATTTATGAAACATTTTCTAACGTGCCTACAAATTCTCATTGACTTTTTAGATTTCATTTATTTTAGATTTTTTTTTAATGTAGTAGAACACACAAACATATTAGTCTTATTTAAATATTCTATAATTTTTCAAGTAGCATTATGCTTTAGTATTGAATTTTTTCCAGCCCTAGATGTAATCTATAGACGGATAAAGATATCCAGAAGATGATTCTTATTCGAGACAGTTGTATGTGGGTTGTGACTCAAATTTTTTATTTTTTTTTTGTCGTTAGTTGGAAATACATTTGAAACAGTATTAAAAAATTATTTATATATTTTCATACAAACGACAAAGTAAAATAATGATTTTTAGTCTGGATATATCAATTCTTAAACTTTCATATTTTCATTTTTTATTAGTATCAATTATAAAAATGTTATTAATTAACATTGAATATTCTCTTCTCAAATCAAATATATTTCAACAATATTAGTTAAAAAAAGAAATAGTAATTATAACAGATACAGTTGCTATTTAGAGAATATTTTTGGATTTTTTTTTTTAAGAAAGATATTTATATAGCAAATAATATCATTGGAAATAGTTTTATTTTTTTTTAACAAGTATCGTATTAAAGTTTTTGAATGATAAATACCTTGATATTCGAGGATAGACGTGTAATTTATTTAAACTTATTTTTGAGAACAAGCAATCCACTAATATGTTTTTATTTGTTATTAAAGAAAATAGAAACAGTCTCTAATATGTCATTTATTATGATATTTGTTAGAGGATTTGTTTCATTTAATAATCGATCTCTTTAACAAATCGATAGGAAAATTTAGTTAATTAACAAATCATTTTAGATTATTTTATATCGAACAATTATTGATTCTATTTTTGGAATACACAATAATTTGTACGAATCAAGATCACATATTTTATTTATTCGATATTTTGCATATACAGAATAATTTTATTTTCGTTTATAAAGCACGAAAAAAGAAAACAAAGCTCGGATCGTACGGACAATTAAACTTTTTTTTTTTTTTTTTTTTTTCTTTTTACAACAATGTATCTTTGGGCTGGCACTCAAGTATATATCTATCATGTATTAATATTTTTTTTTTTAAACATGAAATTACACTTTAATAGTCTTATCATAAATTAATATTATTTGTAACTGAATTAAGAATGGTTTTATTTTAAAACATTTGTAGTGTATTGTATAACTGTAACTGGCGAAAGATACAAAAGCATTACACACAAATACAAAATTGCAACTGCTATTCCCGCAATAGTTGCAATTTATTCTTTTTATGCGAAATAGACAAAATGGATTTTGCGTGATTTACAAGTCGTAATAATGCTGCAAGTCCCTAATAAAAATAATCGAAATGAAGATGTGCGTAGGAATGTAATAATTATTTACAATTTAATTGTTACCTATGTTATATTTCTGTATGCAATGAATAAGTACCTCATTTTGAGAAATCAATAGATGAATGTTGCAAAGTTCGCCGTAGAGTCTGGTACTCGGTATAATTAAGAATATAGCAATAAAATTCAATGTCATTGCAATTTTCAAACAATAGATACAATTTATTATATATATATAAATATATATGTTTCCACAATGGGACTCATTACTTAAAAACTATAAGTGACTTAATAAACATTAATGGCAATTTAATTGTTTTACAGTATAAATTAGCTACTGGATTATTTAGATGCTCTTTCTTTCCCGCAATAGTAAGCGCAAAGCTTGATGGTTGTGCGTAAAGTTTATGGAGCTTAATGGAAGAAAAATATTTATCGATTAACGATTTAGGAATCATGTGAGATGTACACTGGTTTTCTATCAATTATTTAGATATTATTTTTCTTCGAATCAGATGATTGTCTCGTACGATCAGCTGATCGCCTCTTCTCTGTTCCCCTTTTACTACGAATTAATTACTGTGGCGGGACCACAGTTATTAATAACGCACGTACAATATGATGTAAGAGAGCATTGTGTTTACTTGTGTGTTTAGATGTGTGTTGAATGGATGTGAATCATCATGGAATGTAATTGCGATTAGACGGATCGTTTATTAAACCACCAGCGGTACGATTTTTGGACGTATTACGTATATAATTTATGACGTTGTATGTACACCTACAACATATCATCGAGGTGAAATTATCTGAATAAGAAATAAACCATGTAGAATTGGAATTGTCTTGATTTTAAGAAATACCTTTATCCATTTTTTTAATCGCACATGTTTAATTGGACGTGATTTTTTTATCAAGATAATTCACATTTATCGAAAAATCTATGATAATTAATGATCGTTGAATAGAGATGTACAAATTGAATTTAAAATGAAAAGAGGTGTGTGTTAATGTTTATTAATAATCGTTCTTATAATCGATTATTTATAACATTACATTTTCATGACGTACGATTGCACATTTAAATGCTAAATAAACGCTTTGATCGATAAATGACGACAAGAATCGTACGCCGGTTCATAGTGCGAATGAGAACGTGCTATTTAGTCCAGAAATTCCTACTCAATTAATGATGAAAAGGAAAAAGGAAGCAGTTAACAAAACAGTATTGCTGGTGGTTAATTGCAGGTTTGAAGGTGGGAATGGATTTTACAAGGGTCTGTCCGCGAACCTGACCAGGGTGACTCCAGCGACCGTGATCACATTTGTGGTATACGAAAATGTGTCTCACTATCTTCAGCATAGAAAAACGAGGGATGAAGAGCGAACTTTGCCGATTTTGATCAAGAAACTCGAAGAGAATTAAAAATAATACCGATTAGAAATTATTTAAGAATTATTTAAAAAATAATTGCATTGTAAAAAAGCCCGGTGCAGCTTTAAAAAAATGGATTCGATAATTGTGTTTATTTTCAGTTAAATCAATCGACACAGATATTTACGATCTGTCAACGAAAATTTCAGCTAAATCACAATAATCCATAATAGAATGCATTTTCAAATCAATTTACAATTAAATTTTGGCTAAATTTTCGTTTCGCTGGCATTACTCTGTGTCTACAAATCTAAGATACTGATCCTTATACCTGTTACAATGAAAAATATTGTAAATAGAATGATTCAACTTATTAATATTTATCAGGATTTTTTTTTTTTTATTATTATCAAACTTTTGCGAGACGTTGAACGTCGCTTAATTTTGTATCATCATAATGAAATCAAATGAAATTACTTTGAACAAGCTGTGTACGCACACACACATACGCACATATACACACATATCTTTGTATATAATATTCGAAATTTTATTTTTTTGTTTATATAACAATGTGCTTCGCGTATGTCTCTCTCTTTCTATATATATATATATATATATATATATATATATATATATT